TGGGGCGTGCAGGAGGCAGCTGATCCATGATTCTCTCTCATCATGGATGTTTCTCTCTCGCCCTCTCCCTTCCTCTCTTACATCAATTAAAACAAAAAAAGAAAGAGGCCTCGGAACTTGGGGAGCAGGAGGCCGGCCAGGCAGGGTCTCTCGATGCCCGGCTCCCTTGCTGGTGAGCTGGGGCGGCTCCGGCACAGGGAGCCCCGTTCCCCGAGCGGCTCTGTGGGCCTCATTCCCTTTCCCGTCCTTTCCACGCCATGAGCCCTCCATGGCCCAGCCCACCTCCTGCCCTGAGGAGCTGGTGGCCACACCTGCCCACGGCCACACCTGCTCGCCCGGGGACTTCACCCTGGAGAGGTGCCCCTCCCATGTCCAGCCTGGGACCCCCCCCCCGCAGCCCTATGGGTGTGGGGGGGTCTCCTCTGATTCCCTTTCCGTAGACGAGGAAGCTGGGGGGCAGGGCCGGGAGGTGTGCCCTGGAGAGCCGGGCCCACGGGCACTCCCTCCGGCCCTGCACGGGCGTGGGGTGGACACTCCAGCGGCCCTACCTGCTGAGGCCAGGCCAAGAGATGAGGGCCCACAGGAGGCAGCCCATGTGTCCAGACCCCAACCTGTCCAGCCACGGGAAAGGCCTGGGGGATGCCTGAGGCCACTGCGACTCCGGGGGAGCACAGGGGACCCACAGCCTCCCCTGCTGGGCACGTGCCCCGAACAGTGAGCCCCACGCGGACTCATTCTCAGGTCCGGGCACGGGGAGGGGGTGGGTGGGGGAGAGCTCAGGCGCCTCCTCGGGGAAGACCCCTGGCCGCCTGCTTGGGCCTCGGGCCCACCTGGAGCCCAGCCTGTGCGCCCCCCCTTGCCCACAGCGGGCCAGGGCCAGGGATGCACCCCCAGCGGGCACAGGACAGACCCACTCTCCAGGCTTGGGGATGAAGCCTACCTCCCTCCCTCCTCGCCCCTGCCCTTGACAGACCGAGTCAGACCCCAGAAGGGAGGGCAGGGAGGGATAGTGACACCACCTGGGCAGAAGGCAGCCGAGGACCCGAGGGGGTGGGGGCAGAGCGGGCGCCGGCGCAGCCTGAGGGCCCCAGGGGACCGTGGGGAGGAGCCACAGGGCCCCAGGTTCTCCTTTCAGCCGTGTCCTGCGGCCGTGTGGACGGGCCCCCAGCCCGAACCCGAGCCCAGAGGGAAGGGCTGTGCGAGGTCCCGGAGTGGCTGTGGGTGCGGGAGGGGCTGGCAGGGGCCCAGCTTGCAGGCGGCGGGGCTGGAAGAACAAACGCCCGGGGCTGCAGCTGGCGGGTTGCGGGGTGCCGGCTCTGTTTTCCAAAAACACAGATGGGCCAGGAGGGGGTGGGCTGGCACGAGGCCGGCGGAATGTGGGCCCAGGTTCTGACAGCTCAGCAGCCGCCAGGGCACGTGGGACCAGTCCCAAGCCCAGCTTCGGGGGTCAGGCCGGGGGTCCCCCAAAGGCAAGGCCTGACGAGGGGGGTCTGAGCTGAGGTATGCTGGACCCGAGGGGTGGGGGCGGAGCGGGCGCAGGGGACAGTGGGGAGGCCCCGGCCCAGGCCCCCTCTCCTGGGGCCCCTGCCTGGCTGTTCCTGGGGGGCAGCCAGAAACAACAGGACGAGGAGGGGGCCCCTACCCGCTGGACTCCACCCCCACATTCTTTCTGGAACCGACCTCTGACCTCCCCACGCTGAGCAGGAGGCAGGGGCGAGGGTGGACGTGGGAAAGAGCTAACCCAGATCGCTGGCCCTGCCTTCGGCCTCCTGGCCTGGGGTCTCTGTCCCCAAAGCCCCCCTCCCCCCACGCCTGCACATGAGCCCCCACAGAGCGGGGGGCAGCCTGGCGGACAGCGACAGCCACCCCTCAGCCTGGCCTCAGTCTCCCCGGGCCCTGGGGACACTCAGCAAAGGCCCCCTCGGGGCCTGGGTTCCTGGCCCCCCTCCTGCCTCAGTTTCTCAGCTGTAACTTGGGGTTGCTGGAGGAAGTCACCCCTAAGGACTTTCTGGTTCTGGGGGTCCTGGGGCTCAGACGCTCACCGGGTACTTTCCCAGGACATTGGGGACCCAGCACGGTTGTCGGCTTCTTCCCTGGAGGCCTGGGCCCCTGAGAGGCGGGATGGGCGGCGGAGACATGGCCACCCTGTCCCCCCCAAACCTCAGGCCTCCGGAAGGCAGGGCCGGGAGCCGCCCCTCCCCCGGGCGTCGGGGGCCCCTGTGAGTGGCGGCAGGTGGGCCGTGGACCCCCCAGAGGACTGTCCCCAGGATGGCCAGCCCAGCCCACAGGAAGCCCCGCAAACGTGGGGCTCTGGCGCCCTCTGCTGGTCACACATGCAAATGGCCGCTCTGGCTGCCTTGTCCAGTGTGCAGTGCCCACCTCGTGAGTCCAGGGCCAGACCCCCCAGTGGGGACGCCTCGCTGGGCACGGGTGGCGGCCGGGGAGCAGCTGGGCTCTGCCAGGGCCCTTCTCCAGCAGCTCAGGCCCCTGGTTCCTGGTCCCACGCCCTCTCCCGGGCAGCGCCCACCAGGCACTGGGCGGGCCCTCCAGGACAGGGACCCCGCTTGGCATCGTGCCCCTCAGGGCTGTTCAGGCCCGGGGAGCGGTGAGGATGGTAAATATTCACCGCCAACAGGAGAAGGCAAACACTGCACGGGGGCCAGGTGCAGGGGCCAGGTCACGCCTGCCAGGAGCAGGCACAATCCGGGGGGCCTGCCTGGAGGCGGCCGCACTGGCAGACTGTCCTTGGTGTGTGGGCACCAGAGCGACAGACGTCCTGGCCCTGGCTTCAGTCTCCCCACTGGGAGCTCTCCCCACATGGCCCATGGGACGGGGGGACACGGGACAGGTGTGAGCAGAGTGGGACCCGTGTTGGGTGAGGACCCTGGGAAACCCAGCCCTCCCGTGAGGGAGCCGGGGGGCCCACGGTCAGGGGGCCTCCAGGACCAGCTGCTCCCCTGCTCCCCCCCCCCCCCCAGGTGACATGTGGCCGGAGGCCTTGACCCAAGGCCAGCCCCACCGGCCAGGGAGGCGGGGCCTGAGGACACAGGAGGCCTGTCCTCCAATTCCCAGAAGGGGAGGGCACAGGCCTGGGTGGATGGCAGGGCCAAGGCCTGTGGGCCTGGCCTCTGGGGGGCGGCCTGGTGGCTCCATGAAGCTGGGCCCCTGGGGCTTGGACCCCAGGGTCTGATGCCACCTCTGCCGCCAGGATCGCGTCCTTGCCGGGAACACGGGGACACCCCACCCCATATTTTCAAGAACAGTCCCGGGGGCCCAGGGACTGGAGCAAGAGGCCAGGATGGAGGGTCCGGAGCGGGAGGAGGGCAGGGCCAGCCCAGGCTGGGGATCAAGGGCCACGGCACAGCACGACCCAGATTCTTGGGTGTCGGCCCCGCACCCTGAGGGGTGACCCGGCTCCTGAGGCCCCGGAGGGCAGCCCTGAGTGACACCAGCGGCCCCCGGCCCATCTGCTCAGAGTCCCGCCCGCTGGCCCGGCCCATGTGCCCTGGACCCCAAAGGGCTCCTGCTCCCTATCCTCAGGGTCCCCGGCACCAGCAGGGCCAGACAGGACACAGGCTTGACCCCCGGCGGCCCCTTCCCACCCGCTGCGCCCAGCTCCGCCGGCCAGGGATCACGTACCTCAGCTCCCTTGGGACACCCCGGCCTCTCCCGGGGCGACTGGAGACACCTGGGTGTTCCCATGAGAATCCCTGCTCATCCCAGCCCCGGCCTCTTCTTCTTCCCTGTCCAGTGTCCGCCGGCCACCCACCGGCCCAGCCCCAGCCCCCCTGCCGGGCGGGGCCAGCTGGGGGCCAGTGCCATCCCCTCGGGGGGTGTCCAGGTGCTCGAGGGGAGGGGAGGCCTGGAGGGAGCCTTGGGGCTGAGGGACGGCTGTGGGGAGAGGGCACTGGGCCCCACCAAGAGGGGCTGGTGCGGCCAGGCCTCCCAGAGCCCACAGCCAGCAGGCCAACCGGGGCGGGGTCTCCGGGGAGGGTACAGATTGGCTTGGCCCAGTGGCAGGCAGGCTGGCCAGGCCTTGGTGCGGTCAGGTCACCCGCTGACCTCCCAGGACACGCCAGCCCGGGCACCTTGGCTCTCTGGCAAGCCAGGCGGTGGCCTGAGGGAGTGCCCAGTGGAGCCACCTGGGCTGCCATGGGTGCTGAGGAGGGTGAAGACCTGTACCTCGAGGGACCTGGTGGCAGGTCTGGGGGAGACCGCCGGCGGGGGGCGGGGGGACGTGGCTGTCGGGGGAGGAGAGGGCGGAGGGGGCGGGGTCCAGGCCTCAACCCTGGGCTGTGGGCTGTAGCCTGTGGGGGACGTAGCCCGGAGGCCCAGCACGGCGTCCCAGGGGTGCTTCCTATCCTGTCCTGTGTCCCCCAGGGCCCCGGGGCTCCTCCTGCCGGGTCCGGGCTGGGGTCCCGGGCTGCCGAGCCCACCCCGAGCTGGGCAGCATCTCATGCCCTCCCTCCTCCCTCCAGGCCCAGCCTCTCCCCTCCAAGGGCCCCCCTCAGGAGCGCCTCAGCAGCGGGATCTCGGGCCTAAAGTGGTGCAACCTCCTGAACAGCCCCATTCTGTTCCCCCAACAGCCCCAGGGGCCCGAGTGCTCGGGGCTGAGTGAAGGCTCAGCTCCCTGCCAGCCCCGGCCCCAGCCTCCCGAGACCCCCCCTTCTCTGTCCCGTCCTGAAGCGGCCGGGCCGGGAGTCCACCAGGGACCAGGCAGGGGACCACGGGCGCTGAAGGAGCTGGCCACCTGGGGACAGTACCGCCTGCCCAGGGCACCCGGTGAGTGTGGAGGAAGCTCAGAGGGGCCAGTGCAGGGAGAAAGAGGGGGGGACTCGGGGGTGCTCCGCGGCAGCCATGGCCAAGGCGGTGGCTCCTGTGCCTCCCCCACACGCCCCGCCCACACCGCACAGACCACTCAAGCAAGGCTGGTTCAGGGGTTTATTGGGTCTTGGGGGGCAGGGAGCGGCCAGGCCCAGGGTGGCTGGGCACGGGGTGGCCTAGTTGCAGTATCTCTCCAACTCATACAATGAGCAGACGTTGATGCAGCACTCCTCCACGATGCCGCTATTCTGCAGGAGCTCCTCCAGGGAGATGCGGTTCAGGACGCCTGCGCCACACCGCACAAGGAGAGATGGGGATCCGCCATCAGGGCCCCCCGAGGACCCCCACCCAGGCCCCGCCCTGAGCAGCCCGGGGAAGAGCGGGCCCTGCCGCCCGGGGTGGTCCCTGTGTTTTGCCATCAGCCCCCAGGGCCACCCACACCCCGCTCCTGGGCCCAACAGGCATTCGGGAAGGAGAGGGGGTACCCCCATGGCCAGGACCGGACCCCAAGACGACACTGCCGGGCAGCTGCCGTCAGAGGCAGAGGGAGCAGGCGGGTGCTTGTTGAGGGGGGATGCAAGGGAGGGAGGGGACAGGCCCGCCCTTGGGTTCACCCACTCTCTGCCCCTGGAGCTGACGCTGGCCAGGTAGCCGGTCCCTTTAGGATGTGATCGAGGGGCGAGGGGTGGTGGCTCACCCTGTGGGTCGGGCAGCTCCAGGGGGACCGTGGGATTGCTGAAGCCCCGATCTCCGCACATCATGGTCACCATAGCCACCAGATCCTCCCCGCACAGGTGCTCGACCTCAGACTGGGCGGGGGCGGGCGCCCAAAGGGCCAGCAGGGCGAGCAGGGGCAGGAGGCGCGTCCACAGGGCCATGGCCGGGCGTCGAGGACTGGGGACGGGTGGGGTCGATGCCAGTCAGGGGCCCGTGCCCGGCGGGGACCCCCCACCCAGTGCTCACCCTCCAGCACTTTGAGGGAAGAGCCCGCATCCTGGAGAGCCCCGACCCAGCTCCACAGCATCCCTGACCCACCTGCTTGCTGACGGCCTGTGGGTGTGGCGGGTCCAGTGGAGGGCGGAGGGCGGAGGGTGGAGGAAGGAGGGCTGCCAAGCCCGGCCTCCTTTATAGCCCGACCTGCGAGGCCGGTTGGCACACCAGGGGGTGGCACATGGCCCGAGGCTGAGGCTACATGTTCCGGACCATTTGTCCAGAGCGGAGTGTGCTGGGTGCCCAGGAACCCACCTTGGCCGTCAGCACCGCTGGGGCTGCAGGGTCATTAGAACCTTGACAAGGGGCCTGAGGCCCCGCTGTCCTCACTCAGCTGAGGCCAACGTCTCCCCGTCTCCCCGGCACAAGGCCATGTTTCCACATCAGCCCAGGGAGGTGGGTGTGTGGGGACTCTTCCTGCCCAGCCCTGGGCTCCCCCCGCCCCCACCTCGCACCTCTGGTCTCCCCTCCAGACACCGGGTGGTCCAACTGCAGGGCTGAGACCGTGAGGGACATCACCTGTGTGTGGGGACCTGGCGTATAAGAATATGTGTGCTCCCCCTCTTAGCACTATGTGTTTTAAACAGGACCACCTCCCCGAGAAAGGTTGTTCCCCCAGGTTAGGGATTAACAGCACTAAGGAAGAGAATAAATCAGTAAATCCCCCTAGTGTTACAGAAAGACCATGTACTACTTATGAAGAACTTGGACCAAGACTGTTGGCAATAAATTTGGGACTGGTTGGGCCCACATCCCCAGGGGTCTGCCCACCAGGGAAAGCACCAAAGCCTATCCACCTGGAGACCCACCGACACAGGGCAGTCCCAGGGAAGGCAAGCAGCGAGACCGGGAGGACATAACCTTTACTGGGTAGGATAAACTCCTTCAGTACTTCCTTAACCTATTAGTACAGCAGTGACCTTGGAAGAGCCCTTGTGATGGAACACAGAGATTAACCTAGATGACATTTAAATCAATAGAACTAGATAGAGACCGGATATTTGGCATAGGTCAGATAAGAAACAAGGAACTGTAGAACCTTACCCAGAACATACCATGATGTGGCCGAAACCGGTTTGGCTCAGTGGATAGAGCGTCGGCCTGCGGACTGAGGGGTCCCGGGTTCGATTCTGGTCAGGGGCATGTACCTGGGCTGCGGGCACATCCCCAGTGGGGGATGTGCAGGAGGCGGCTGATCGATGTTTCTCTCCCATCGATGTTTCTGGCTCTCTATCTCTCTCCCTTCCTCTCTGTAAAAAATCAATAAAATATATTAAAAAAAAAAACAAAAACATACCATGATGTGATTATAGAGGCATGCTTATAGGATCAAATGGTATAAATACAGATGTAACAGGACAAAAAAGAGAACCTCCCTATGCTGATCAACTGAACACTTCTCCAGGTCCTTCCTTCTTCGCCGACTCCGTCCACACCTTTGGGAACCCCTGAACCTGCTGGGGCTGGACCCCAACATATGGAGCCCGAACAGGGACCCTTAGGTAAGCCCCCCATTCCTCTAGGTAAGCCCCACTCTCGAGATGGATAGGACTCCACCGTAGGAAGAGGGTGGAGAGTCTTCGCCGACTCCGTCCACACCTTTGGGAACCCCTGCAACAGGATTCCCATAGGTAAGCCCTTCCCCACTCCATTGAGAACCCCACACTCGGGATGGGTAGGACTCCACCTGGGTGCTGCAGACCCCCCTATAGAGGATAAGTAGGGTAAGAAGGTGGATAGTACAGACCTTAGATTGAGAAGATGTGCCATACTGAGTCTAAAGAAAAAACACTCCGTATTGATCTTTTAACACATATGCTGCTAGCACAGGAGTTAGGTACAGATTGGCTTGGCCCATTGGCTTGGCCCAGTGGCTGGCAGGCTGGCCAGGCCTTGGTGCGGTCAGGTCACCCGCTGACTTCCCTGGCTCCCTGGCATGCCAGGCGGTGGCCTGAGGGAGTGCCCAGAGGAGCCACCTGGGCTGCCATGGGTGCTGAGGAGGGTGAAGACCTGGACCTCGAGGGACCTGGGGGCAGGTCTGGGGGTGACCGCCGGTGTGGGGCGCACGGACGTGGCTATCGGGGTGGAGGAGAGGGCGGAGGGGACGGGGTCCCAGCCTCAGCCCTGGGCTGTGGGCTGTAGCCTGTGGCGGACACAGACCGGAGGCCCAGCTCGGGGTCCGAGGGGTGCTGCCTGTCCTGTCTTGTGTCCCCCGGGGCCCCGGCGCTCCTCCTGCAGGATCCGGGCTGGGGTCCCGGGCTGCCGAGCCCACCCCGAGCTGGGCAGCATCTCATGCCCTCCCTCCTCCCTCCCGGCCCAGCCTCTCCCCTCCAAGGTCCACCCTCAGGAGAGCCCCAGCAGCAGGCTTCTCTGCCTAAAGTGGGGCAACCTCCTGAACAGCCCCATTCTGTTCCCCCAACAGCCCCAGGGGCCCGAATGCTCGGGGCTGAGTGAAGGCTCAGCTCCCTGCCCGTCCCGGCCCCAGCCTCCAGAGACCCCCCCTTCTCTGTCCCGTCCTGAAGCAGCCGGGCCGGGAGTCCACCAGGGACCAGGCAGGGGACCACGGGCGCTGAAGGAGCTGGCCACCTGGGGACAGTACCGCCTGCCCAGGGCACCCGGTGAGTGTGGAGGAAGCTCAGAGGGGCCAGTGCAGGGAGAAAGAGGGGGGGACTCGAGGGTGCTCCGCGGCAGCCATGGCCAAGGCGGTGGCTCCTGTGCCTCCCCCACACGCCCCGCCCACACCGCACAGACCACTCAAGCAAGGCTGGTTCAGGGGTTTATTGGGTCTTGGGGGGCAGGGAGCGGCCAGGCCCAGGGTGGCTGGGCACGGGGTGGCCTAGTTGCAGTATCTCTCCAACTCATACAATGAGCAGACGTTGATGCAGCACTCCTCCACGATGCCGCTATTCTGCAGGAGCTCCTCCAGGGAGATGCGGTTCAGGACGCCTGCGCCACACCGCACAAGGAGAGACGGGGATCCGCCATCAGGGCCTCCCCAGGACCCCCACCACGGCCCTGCCCTGAGCAGCCCGGGAAGAGCGGGCCCTGCCGCCCGGGGTGGTCCCTGTGTTTTGCCATCAGCCCCCAGGGCCACCCACACCCCGCTCCTGGGCCCAACAGGCATTCGGGAAGGAGAGGGGGTACCCCCATGGCCAGGACCGGACCCCAAGACGACACTGCCGGGCAGCTGCCATCAGAGGCAGAGGGAGCAGGCGGGTGCTTGTTGAGGGGGGATGGAAGGGAGGGAGGGAACAGGCCCGCCCTTGGGTTCACCCACTCTCTGCCCCTGGAGCTGACGCTGGCCAGGTAGCCGGTCCCTTTAGGATGTGACCGAGGGGCGAGGGGTGGTTGCTCACCCTGTGGGTCGGGCAGCTCCAGGGGGGCCATGGGATTCTTGAAGCCCCGATCTCCGCATGTTATGGTCATCACATCCTCCAGATACTCGCCGCACAGGTGCTGGTCCTCAGACTGCGCGGGGGCGGGCGCCCAGAGGGCCAGCAGGGGCAGGAGGCGCGTCCATAGGGCCATGGACGGGCGTCGAGGACTGGGGACGGGTGGGGTCGATGCCAGTCAGGGGCCCATGGCCGGCGGGGACCCCCCACCCAGTGCTCACCCTCCGGCGCTTTGAGGGAAGAGCCCGCATCCTGGAGAGCCCCAACCCAGCTCCGCAGTGTCCCTGACCCACCTGCTTGCTGACGGCCTGTGGGTGTGGCGGTCCAGCGGAGGGCGGAGGGCTGGGGGCTGCCGGGCCCGGCCTCCTTTATAGCCCCACCTGCCGGGCTGGTTGGCACACCAGGGGGTGGCACATGGCCCGAGGCTGAGGCTACACGTTCCGGATCATTTGTCCAGAGCGGAGTGTGCTGGGTGCCCAGGAACCCGCCTTGGCCGTCAGCACCGCTGGGGCCTCAGGGTCATTAGAACCTTGACAAGGGGCCTGATGGCCCTGCTGTCCCCACTAACCTGAGGCCAACGTCTCCCTGTCTCCCCGGCACAAGGCCATGTTTCCACATCAGCCCAGGGAGGTGGGTGTGTGGGGACTCTTCCTGCCCAGCCCTGGCCCCCCACCGCGCCCCCCCCCCTGCACCTCTGGTATCCCCTCCAGGCCCCGGGTGATACAACTGCAGGGCTGAGACCATGAGGGACATCACCTGTGTGTGGGGACCTGGCGTATATGAATATGTGTGCTCCCCCTCTTAGCACTATGTGTTTTAAACAGGATCATCTCTTCGATAAAGGTTGTTCCCCCAGGTTAGGGATTAACAGCACTAAGGAAGAGAATAAATCAGTAAATCCCCCTAGTGTTACAGAAAGACCATGTACTACTTATGAAGAACTTGGACCAAGACTGTTGGCAATAAATTTGGGACTGGTTGGGCCCACATCCCCAGGGGTCTGCCCACCAGGGAAAGCACCAAAGCCTATCCCCCTGGAGACCCACCGACACAGGGCAGTCCCAGGGAAGGCAAGCAGCGGGGCTGGGAGGACATAACCTTTACTGGGTAGGATAAACTCCTTCAGTCACTTCCTTGTAGCCTATCAGTAGAGCAGTGACCTTGGAAGAGCCCTTGTGATGGAACACAGAGATTAACCTAGGTGACATTTAAATCAATAGAACTAGATAGAGACAGGATTTTTGGCAAAGGTCAGATAAGAAACAAGGAACTGTAGAACGTTACCCAAAACATACCATGATGTGATTATAGAGGCCTGCTTATAGGATCAAATGGTATAAATACAGATGTAACAGGACAATAAAGAGAGAACCTAGCTATGATGATCACCTGAACGCTGCCACCGAGTCCTTCCTTCTTCGCCGACTCCGTCCACACCTCTGGGAACCCCTGGACCTGCTGGGGCTGGACCCCAACATATGGAGCCCGAACAGGGACCCTTAGGTAAGCCCCCCATTCCTCTAGGTAAGCCCCACTCTCAGGACGGATAGGACTCCACCGTAGGAAGAGGGTGGATAGTCTTCGCCGACTCCGTCCACACCTTTGGGAACCCCGGAACAGGATTCCCCTAGGTAAGCCCCTCCCCCCTCCATTGAGAACCCCACACTCGGGACGGGTAGGACTCCACCGGGGTGCTGCAGACCCCCCTATAGAGGATAAGTAGGGTAAGAAGGTGGATAGTACAGACCTTAGATTGAGAAGATGTGCCATACTGAGTCCAAAGAAAAAACACTCCGTATTGATCTTTTAACACATATGCTGCTAGCACAGGAGTTAGGTACAGATTGGCTTGGCCCAGTGGCTGGCAGGCTGGCCAGGCCTTGGTGCGGTCAGGTCACCCGCTGACTTCCCTGGCTCCCTGGCATGCCAGGCGGTGGCCTGAGGGAGTGCCCAGAGGAGCCACCTGGGCTGCCATGGGTGCTGAGGAGGGTGAAGACCTGGACCTCGAGGGACCTGGGGGAAGGTCGGGGGGTGACCGCTGGCGGTGGCGGGGGGACGTGGCTGTTTGGAGGAGGAGAGGGCAGAGGGGGCGGGGTCCAGGCCTCATCCCTGGGCTGTGGGCTGTAGCCTGTGGGGGACACAGCCCGGAGGCCCAGCACGGGGTGCCAGTGGTGCTGCCTATCCTGTCTTGTGTCCCCCAGGGCCCCGGGCCTCCTCCTGAAGGGTCGGGGCTGGGGTCCCGGGCTGCCGAGTCCACCCGAGCTGGGCAGCATCTCATGCCCTCCCTCCTCCCTCCCGGCCCAGCCTCTCCCCTCCCAGGGCCCCCCTCAGGAGCGCCCCAGCAGCGGGCTTCTCAGGCCTAAAGTGGAGCAACCTCCTGAACAGCCCCATTCTGTTCCCCCAACAGCCCCAGGGGCCCGAGTGCTCCGGGCTGAGTGAAGGCCTAGCTCCCTGCCAGCCCGACCCCAGCCTCCTGAGACCCCCCCTTCTCTGTCCTGAAGAGAAGGGTCCTGAAGCAGCCAGGCCGGGAGTCCACCAGGGACCAGGCAGGGGACCGCGGGCGCTGAAGGAGCTGGCCACCTGGGGACAGTACCGCCTGCCCAGGGCACCTGGTGAGTGTGGAGGAAGCTCAGAGGGGCCAGTGCAGAGAGAAAGAGAGGGGGGACTCGGGGGTGCTCCGCAGCAGCCATGGCCAAGGCGGTGGCCCCTTTGACTCCCCCACACGCCCCGCCCACACCGCACAGACCACACAAGCAAGGCTGGTTCAGGGGTTTATTGGGTCTCGGGGGTCAGGGAGCGGTCAGGCTCAGGGTGGCTGGGCGCGGGGGGCCTATTTGCAGTATCTCTCCAGCTGGTAGAGCGAGCAGATGCCGTAGCAGCACTCCTCCACGATGCCGCGCTTCTGCAGGAGCTCCTCCAGGGCCAGGGCCTGCGGGCCGCCCGCGCCCATCTCCACCTCCCCCGCTGCCCAGGAGGAGAGATGGGGATCCGCCATCAGGGCCGCCAGAGGACCCCCACCCCGGCCCCGCCCCAAGCAGTCCTGGGGAGAGCGGGCCCTGCCACCCTGGGTGGTCCCTGCTTTTTGCCATCTGCCCCCTGGGCAACCTCACACAGCCTGCCCTGAAGCTGGGCCCCACAGGCATTCAGGCAGGAGAGGAGGGCACCCCTATGGCCAGGACCGGACCCCAAGATGACACTGCCGAGCAGCTGCCGTCAGAGGCAGAGGGAGCAGGTGGGGGCTTGTTGAGGGGGGATGAAAAGCAGGGAGGGGACAGGCCCGCCCTCGGGTTCAACCACTCTCTGCCCCTGGAGCCGACACTGGCCAGGTAGCCGGTTCCTTTAGGATGTGACCGAGGGGTGAGGGGTGGTGGCTCACCCTATGGGTCGGGAAGCTCCCGGCGTTCCGTGGGATTGTAGAAGCCCCGATCTCCGCACACTGCAGACAGCGTATCCACCAGATCCTCGCCGCACAGGTGCTTGTCCCCATCCTGAGCAGGGGTGGGGGCGGGCTCCCAGAGGGCCAGCAGGGCGAGCAGGGGCAGGAGGCGCGTCCACAGGGCCATGGACGGGCGTCGAGGACTGGGGACGGGTGGGGTCGATGCCAGTCAGGGGCCCGTGCCCGGAGGGGACCCCCCACCCAGTGCTCACCCTCCAGCACTTTAACGGAAGAGCCTGCATCCTGGAGAGCACCGACCCAGCTCCACAGCATCCCTGACCCACCTGCTTGCTGACGGCCTGTGGGTGTGGTGGTCCAGCGGAGGGCGGAGGGCTGGGGGCTGCCGGGCCCGGCCTCCTTTATAGCCCCACCTGCCGGGCTGGTTGGCACCCCAGGGGGTGGCCAATGGCCCGGGGCTGAGGCTACACGTTCCGGACCATTTGCCCAGAGATGAGTGTGCTGGGTGCCCAGGAACCCGCCTTGGTCGTCAGCACCGCTGGGGCCGCAGGGTCATTAGGACTTTAACAAGGGGCCTGATGGCCCTGCTGTCCCCACTAACCTGAGGCCAACGTCTCCCCGTCTCCCCGGCACCAGGCCATGTTTCCACATCATCCCAGAGAGCTGGGGGGCGGGGGGGCTCTTCCTGCCCAGCCCTGGGCTCCCCCGCCCACACCCCGCACCTCTGGTCTGCCCTCCAGGCCCTGGTGGTCTGGCCGTGGGACTGGGACCGTGAGGGACATCGCCTGTGTGTGGGGACCTGGCGTATATGAATATGTGTGCTCCCCCTCTTAGCGCTATGTGTTTTAACCAGGACCACCTCCCCGAGAAAGGTTGTTCCCAGTTTAGGGATTAACAGCACTAAGGAAGAGAAGAAATCAGTAAATCCCCCTAGTGTTACAGAAATACCATGTACTACTTATGAAGAACTTGGACCAAGACTGTTGGCAATAAATTTGGGACTGGTTGGGCCCACATCCCCAGGGGTCTGCCCACCAGGGAAAGCACCAAAGCCTATCCCCCTGGAGACCCACCGACACAGGGCAGTCCCAGGGAAGGCAAGCAGCGGGGCTGGGAGGACATAACCTTTACTGGGTAGGATAAACTCCTTCAGTACTTCCTTAACCTATTAGTACAGCAGTGACCTTGGAAGAGCCCTTGTGATTGAACACAAAGATTAACCTAGATGACATTTAAATCAACAGAACTAGATAGAGACCGGATATTTGGCAAAGGTCAGATAAGAAACAAGGAACTGTAGAACCTTACCCAAAACATACCATGATGTGATTATAGAGGCCTGCTTATGGGATCAAATGGTATAAATACAGATGTAACAGGACAATAAAAAGAACCTCGCTATGCTGATCAACTGAACGCTGCCTCCCTGTCTTTCCTTCTTCGCCGACTCCGTCCACACCTTTGGGAACCCCTGGACTGCTGGGCCTGGACCCCAACGTATGGCGCCCGAACAGGGACCCTTAGGTAAGCCCCCCATTCCTCTAGGTAAGCCCCACTGTCGGGACGGATAGGACTCCACCGTAGGAAGTGGGTGGATAGTTTTCGCCGACTCCGTCCACACCTTTGGGAACCCCTGCAACAGGATTCCCCTAGGTAAGCCCCTCCCCACTCCATTGAGAACCCCACACTCGGGATGGGTAGGACTCCACCTGGGTGCTGCAGACCCCCCTATAGAGAATAAGTAGGGTAAGAAGGTGGATAGTACAGACCTTAGATTGAGAAGATGTGCCATACTGAGTCTAAAGAAAAAACACTCCGTATTGATCTTTTAACACATATGCTGCTAGCACAGGAGTTAGGTACAGATTGGCTTGGCCCATTGGCTTGGCCCAGTGGCTGGCAGGCTGGCCAGGCCTTGGTGCGGTCAGGTCACCCGCTGACTTCCCTGGCTCCCTGGCATGCCAGGCGGTGGCCTGAGGGAGTGCCCAGAGGAGCCACCTGGGCTGCCATGGGTGCTGAGGAGGGTGAAGACCTGGACCTCGAGGGTCCTGGGGGCATGTCTGGGGGTGACCGCCGGTGTGGGGTGGAGGGAGTTGGCTGTCGGGGGAGGAGAGGGCGGAGGAGGCGGGGTCCAGGCCTCAACCCTGGGCTGTGGGCTGTAGCCTGTGGGGGACACAGCCCGGAGGCCCAGCACGGGGTGCCAGGGGTGCTTCCTGTCCTGTCCTGTGTCCCCCAGGGCCCCGGGGCTCCTCCTGCCGGGTCCGGGCTGGGGTCCCGGGCTGCCGAGCCCACCCTGAGCTGGGCAGCATCTCATCCCCTCCCTCCTCCCTCTCGGCCCAGCCTCTCCCCTCCAAGGGCCCCCCTCAGGAGCACCCCAGCAGCAGGCTTCTCTGCCTAAAGTGGTGCAACCTCCTGAACAGCCCCATTCTGTTCCCCCAACAACCCCCGGGGCCCGAGCGCTCGGGGCTGAGTGAAGGCTCAGCTCCCTGTCAGCCCCGGCCCCAGCTTCCCGAGACCCCCCCTTCTCTGTCCTCTTCTGAAGCGGCCCGGCCGGGAGTCCACCAGGGACCAGGCAGGGGACCGCGGGCGCTGAAGGAGCTGGCCACCTGGGGACAGTATCGCCTGCCCAGGGCACCTGGTGAGTGTGGAGGAGACTCAGAGGGGCAAATTCAGGAGAAAGAGAGTGGGGACTTGGGGGTGCCCCATGGCAGCCATGGCCAAGGTGGCGGCCCCTGTGCCTCCCCCACACACCGCACAGACCACTCAAGCATGGCTAGTTCAGGGGTTTATTGGATCTCGGGAGCAGGGAGCGGCCAGGCCCAGGGTGGCTGGGCGCGGGGGGCCTAGTTGCAGTAGTTCTCCAGCTGGTAGAGCGAGCAGATGCTGGTGCAGCACTGGTCCACGATGCCGCGCTTCTGCAGGATCCCCTCCAGGGCCAGGGCCTGCGGGCCGCCCGCGCCCATCTCCGCCTCCCCCCCTGACCAGGAGGAGAGACAGGGATCCGCCATCAGGGCTGCCCAGGGATCCTCACCCCAGCCCAGCCCCGAGTCGACCTGGGGAGAGTGGGCCCTGTCGCCCAGGGTGGTCGCTGCATTTTGCCATCGGGCCCCGGGCCACCCCACACAGCCTGCCTTGCTCCTGGTCCCCACAGGCATTCGGGCAGGAGAGGGGGGCACCCCCATGGCCAGGACCGGACCCCAAGACGACACTGCCGGGCAGCTGCCATCAGAGGCTGAGGGAGCAGGCGGGTGCTTGTCTGAGGGGGCCTGGAAGGAAGGGAGGGGACACGCCCGCCTTCGGGGGTCACCCACTCTCTCCCCCTGGAGCCGACGTTGGCCAGGTAGCCAGTCCCTTTAGGATGTGACCGAGGGGTGAGGGGTGGTGGCTCACCCTGCGGGTCGGGCAGCTCCCGGCGGTCCTTGGGTGTGTAGAAGAAGCCGCGCTCCCCGCACACCAGGTACAGAGCCTCCACCAGGTGCGAGCCGCACAGGTGCTGGTTCACGAAGGCCTGGGAGGGAGCGGGTGCCCAGAGGGCCAGCAGGGCAAGCAGGGGCAGGAGGCGCGTCCACAGGGCCATGGCCGGGCGTCGAGAACTGGGGACGGGTGGGGTCCATGGCAGTGAGGGGCCTGTGCCCGGCGGGGACCCCCCACCCAGTGCTCACCCTCCAGTGCTTTGAGGGAAGAGCCCGCATCCTGGACAGCCCGGAACCCTGGGCCTGGGAGACAGCCCCTTCCCAGATGGGCAGTCCCGACCCAGACGTGCAGCCGGGACCCAGACGTGCAGCCTAGACCCAGGCGGGCATCCCGGACCCAGCAGCGCAGCGTCCCTGACCCACCTGCTTGCTGACGGCCTGTGGATGCAGTGGGTCCGGAGGGCTAGGCTGGGGGCTGCTGGGTCCAGCCTGCTTTATAGCCCCACCTGGCCGGCCGTTGGCGCCCCAGGGGGTGACAGATGGCCCGAAGGCTGAGGCTGCACTTTCCAGACCATTTGCCCTGAGCGGAGTGTGCTGGGTGCGCAGGAACCCGCCTTGGCCGTCAGCACCTCTGGGGCCATGGGGTCATTAGGACCTTAATGAGGGGCCTGATGGCCCTGCTGTCCCCACTCAGCTGAGGCCAGCGTCTCCCCGTCTCCCCGACACCAGGCCATGTTTCCACATCAGCCCAGAGAGCTGGGGGGCGCAGGGGCTCTTCCTGCCCAGCCCTGGGCTCCCCCCGCCCACACCCCGCACCTCTGGTCTGCCCTCCAGGCCTCTGGGTGGTCCAGCCACAGGGCTGGGACCGTGAGGGACCTCTCCCGTGTGTGGGAAGCCGATATAGGGTTAAGCCTCGGACTGACCTGTTGGCAAAGTCACAAGCAGGTCTTCCGAGTCTTAAACATACCAATCTGAGAGGTGGCCGCCGATTTACATGCACGGTCCTTTAAAAAATAAAAATGGGGAATTTGCTGGAAGCCGGTCCACCCTTGCTGCTTGACGCAGTCGCTGCAGGGAAGAAACATCTGCACAGCTTATGTTTCAAGGGACCTAGCCTATATGACATATGTGTGCTCCCCCTCTTAGCACTATGTGTTTTAACCAGGACCACCTCCCCGAGAAAGGTTGTTCCCCCAGGTTAGGGATTAACAGGACTAAGGAAGAGAATAAATCAGTAAATCCCCCTAGTGTTACAGAAATACCATGTACTACTTAAGAACTTGGACTAAGGCTGTTGGCAATAAATTTGGGACTTGTTGGGCCCACATCCCCAGGGGTCTGCCCACCAGGGAAAGCACCAAAGCCTATACCCCTGGAGACCCACCGACACAGGGCAGTCCCAGGGAAGGCAAGCAGCGGGGCTGGGAGGACATAACCTTTACTGGGTAGGAGAATCTCCTTCAGTCACTTCCTTGTAGCCTATCAGTAGAGCAGTGACCTTGGAAGAGCCCTTGTGATGGAACACAGAGATTAACCTAGGTGACATTTAAATCAACAGAACTAGATAGAGACAGGATTTTTGGCAAAGGTCAGATAAGAAACAAGGAACTGTAGAACGTTACCCAAAACATACCATGATGTGATTATAGAGGCCTGCTTATAGGATCAAATGGTATAAATACAGATGTAACAGGACAATAAAGAGAGAACCTAGCTATGACGATCACCTGAATGCTGCCGCCGTGTCCTTCCTTCTTCGCTGACTCCGTCCTCACCTTTGGGAACCCCTGGACCTGCTGGGGCTGGACCCCAACATATGGCACCCAAACAGGGACCCTTAGGTAAGTTCCCCATTCCCCTACATAAGCTCCCCCTGCACTCGGGACGGATAGGACTCCACCGTAGGAAGAGGGTGGATAGTCTTCGCCGACTCCATCCACACCTTTGGGAACCCCTGGAACAGGATTCCCCTAGGTAAGCCCCCCCCTATTGAGAACCCCCACACCTGGGATGGATAGGACTCCACCAGGGTGCTGCAGACCCCCCTATAGAGGATAAGTAGGGTAAGAAGGTGGATAGTACAGAACTTGGATGGAGAAGATGTGCCATACTGAGTCCAAAGAATGAAGACTCTGTATTGATCTTTGGATTAAGAAGATGTTGCATACTGAGTCTAAAGAAAAAAGACTCCATATTGATCTTTTACCACATATGCTTGCTAGCAGAGGAGTTAAGGTTACTCCCAGTCAGACGGAACGTTTTATACAAGAAGTATGTCCATGCTTTTCTGAGGAAGGAAAGGTAAATGCAAAGGCATGGGAGAGGGTAGGCCCAAGGAGCCTTATCCTTAACCCCACTGCAGCCTTTCCACCCCGGGAAAGTGGAGGATTGGCAAGCTCTCCCTGGGGTGATAGATCAGGACTCAGGTAATAGCGGAAAGCGCCAATCCTACTCTTAAAGTGGATACAAGAGAGCATTTGGGGTTTTTCTTTTTACTGCCTGCTTTGGATTGAGTAAATGCATTTTACTTAGTTTTAACACATCAAAGTTAGCTCTTGACACAAAGAGAAGAACTGACAATTCCATCAATATAAACCTTTTCTAGAAAAATAAAAAAAAGGGGAGAAACCAAGATGGCGGCATAGGTAAACACCGAAATTGCTGCCTCCCACAACAACTTCAAAAATACAACTAAAAGACAAAATGGACATCATCCAGAACCACAGGAAGGCTGACTGAGTGGAAATTCTACAACTAGAAGGAAAGAGAAAAGCACACTGAGACTCAGAGGAGATGTGAAAGTAAAGTGCAGAGGTACGGAGGCACGCTCAGAAAGGGCTGGCAACTGAGGATGCGGTTGTCTTTTTCAATTGGGAGGGAGTCTCAAGCTCCCAACTGCTCTGAACTCTAGTTCCGGGCAAGTCTTTGGGGACCCAGACTCATACAGGGAGAAACTGGACTGTCTGGCATCAGGCAGAACTAGAGGGCGACTTTCTCTCAGAGGTGCTTGTAGCAATTACCAGGACACTGAGACACAGGGCTTCTTAGGGTAGGACTGAGGAGAAGCCATAGCTGTTTGCTCCGCCCTGTTGATTCCCTGAGACCCCGCCCCACCCAAGCTGTGCACAGAGGCTTTTGCATATGAATGCCCTGGCCCTTTGCAATCTGAAAATTACCTAACAAACTGCAGCTGGGTCAGAGAGACTCAGAACTTCCAAAAGAAGGCCCAAGGCCCCACAGCAGCTTGCATTGCTTCACAGCTGGGCCTCATCTGGGCACCTCCAAACCCCAAACAAAGAAGAGGAATCTGCAGATCTCTCCATAGCTCCTGCTGGGTAGCCTCAGGCAGAGGCTAAATTAGCACCTCCTTAGAGATCCAAGAGCCAGTGTACCCAGTGGTCAGAGTGGGACCATCCAGATTACAACTCCTCAGATCCATAAGGGACACACTCAGGGGGCAGACTCAGTGAGCACAAAAGCCCCACTGAAGCAAGTCTTGCCCCAGAAGGGTGTCTCCAGCACAGGGTGTCTCACTGCAGACACAGCTGATTCTCACAGCCAATTGGCCTGGAGGTCAATTCCTCCCAGTGATACCTACAACAATCAAGGCTTAACTACAACAAGACTGTGCACAAAGCCCACAAGGGGTGCACCAAGAGTATCCACCTCAGGTAATTGGGGAGGCTGAGCCACTGGGCCCTATAGGACACCAAGCACAGAAAGCTACTCTACCAACACAGGGAAGCATAAAAAAATGTGGAGACAAAGAAACAGGTCACAAATGACAGAAATGAAGGAAAGCAAACTACTGGATATAGAGTTCAAAACCACAGTTCTAAGGTTTTTCAAGAATTTTATAGAAACCACCGATAAATTTAGTGAGACCCTCAAGAAATCTAGTGAGACCCTTGAGGATATGAAAAAGGACCAGCTAGAAATTAAGCATACACTGACTGAAATAAAGAATATTATACAGAATTCCAACAGCAGGCTAGAGGATCGCAAGCATCAAGTCAAAGATTTGAAATACGAAGAAGCAAAAATCACCCAACCGGAAAAACAAAAAGAAAAAAGAATAAAAAAATATGAAGATAGTGTAAGGAGCCTCTGGGACAACTTCAAGCGTACCAACATCTGAATTATGGGGGTGCCAGAAGAAGAGAGAGAGCAATATATTAAAAACCTATTTGAAGAAATAATGACAGAAAACTTCCCCTACCTGGTGAAAGAAATAGACTTACAAGTCCAGGAAGTGCAGAGAACCCCAAACAAAAGGAATCCAAAGAGAACCACACCAAGACACATCATAATTAAAATGACAAGAGCAAAAGACAAAGAGAGAATCTTAAAAGCAGCAAGAGAAAAACAGCCAGTTACCTACAAGGGAGCACCCATACGACTGTCAGCTGATTTCTCAACAGAAACTTTGCAGGCCAGAAGGGAGTGGCAAGAAATATTCAAAGTGATGAATACCAAGAACCTACAACCAAGATTACTTTATCCAGCAAAGCTATCATTCAGAAGTGAAGGTCAGATAAAGAGCTTCACAGATAAGGAAAAGCTAAAGGAGTTCATCACCACCAAACCAGTATTATATGAAATGCTGAAAGGTATCCTTTAAGAAGAGGGAGAAGAAGAAAAAGGTAAAGATACAAATTATGAACAACAAATACACATCTATCAACAAGTGAATCTAAAAATCAAGTGAATAAATAATCTGATGATCAGAATAAATTGGTGAATATAATAGAATCAGGGGCATAGAAAGGAAGTGGACTGACTATTGTCGGGGGGAAAGGGGTGTGGAGGTGGGCGAAGAGACAGGACAAAAATCATACACCTATGGATGAGGACAGTGGGGGGAGGGGGTAAGGGCAGAGGGTGGGGTGGGAACTGGGTGGAGGGGAGCTATGGGGGGAAAAAGAGGAACAACTGTAGTAATCTGAACAATAAATATTTAATTTAAAATAAAATAAAAACAAAGAAGGGGGAGAAGAATGTTATATGTTAAATTTTTAAAAAAATGCAATGCAGAGGGTTGTACAGCAGCCAAAAGGCATCGGGCCTCCTAATAGCCTCTGCGGACTCAGCCTGGTAGAAGGATACACAAACCAGACAGGAGTGCTACCAGATCAGCAATGATTTGGGGAAAAGGCTGCGTTTTGTATCTTTCCAGGAGCAGCAGTGCAGACAGTTTGGTACCAGAGCGTTACGAGCGTCACCACAATGGAGCCAGAGAAGCTCCTGTCCCATCGTTCCAAAGACTTAGAGTTGCCCCGATGACAGAGAAGCGGAAAAAAGAAGAAAAGGAAGGCTACGACGCAAGGGACCGGGGTGCCAACATGGGGTCAGCTGACGGAGTTAACAGCTGAGGCTAAATCAGCCAAAGAAACGTTCATTGGGCAGAAACTCACCTCTGCTGTTTGCATGGCCATTGTTTTATTATCCTTACTAGTTTTAAAAATGTTATGTTTAAGTTTTAAAATGTTCTGGGTTTTGCATTGGCATTGTCTTGTTACTGTTTTAATAGCCAGAGTTTTGTGCTTGATGCTTAAGTTTTACTTTCATTATGGTAGCTTTTTGTTCTTGATGCTTAAAAACTTTCATTATAGTAGCTTAAAATATAAAAGAAGGGTGAGATGTGGGGAGCCGATATAGGGTTAAGCCTCGGACTGACCTGTTGGCAAAGTCACAAGCAGGTCTTCCGAGTCTTAAACAACTCAATCCGAGAGGTGGCCGCTGATTTACACGCGCTGTCATTTAAAAAATAAAAATGGGGGAATTTGCTGGAAGCCGGTCCACCCTTGCTGCTTGACACAGTCGCTGCAGGGAAGAAACATCTGCACAGCTTATGTTTCAAGGGACCTGGCGTATATGGTGTATGTGTGCTCCCCCTCTTAGCACTATGTGTTTTAACCAGGACCACCTCCCCGAGAAAGGTTGTTCCCCCAGGTTAGGGATTAACAGGACTAAGGAAGAGAATAAATCAGTAAATCCCCCTAGTGTTACAGAAAGACCATGTACTACTTATGAAGAACTTGGACCAAGACTGTTGGCAATAAATTTGGGACTGGTTGGGCCCACATCCCCAGGGGTCTGCCCACCAGGGAAAGCACCAAAGCCTATACCCCTGGAGACCCACCGACACAGGGCAGTCCCAGGGAAGGCAAGCAGCGAGACCGGGAGGACATAACCTTTACTGGGTAGGATAAACTCCTTCAGTCACTTCCTTGTAACCTATCAGTAGAGCAGTGACCTTGGAAGAGCCCTTGTGATGGAACACAGAGATTAACCTAGACAAGATTAAAATCAACAGAACTAGATAGAGACAGGATTTTTGGCAAAGGTCAGATAAGAAACAAGGAACTGTAGAACGTTACCCAAAACATACCATGATGTGATTATAGAGGCATGCTTATGGGATCAAATGGTATAAATACAGATGTAACAGGACAATAAAAAGAACCTCGCTATGCTGATCAACTGAACGCTGCCTCCGTGTCCTTCCTTCTTCGCCGACTCCGTCCACACCTTTGGGAACCCCTGGACCTACTGGGGCTGGACCCCAACATATGGCACCCGAACAGGGACCCTTAGGTAAGCCCCCCATTCCTCTAGGTAAGCCCCACTCTCGGGATGGATAGGACTCCACCGTAGGAAGAGGGTGGAGAATCTTCGCCGACTCTGTCCACACTTTTGGGAACCCCTGGACCTGCTGGGGCTGGACCCCCACACCTGTGCTCCGTGCCCACCCCGCCCCCACAGCAGCTCCCCTGGGGCCCCCAGCACCCTGAGTGCTGTGCAGAGGGCTGAAGGTGGGACCAGCAGCCACGAGCCCTCAGGCTGGCCCCGTCTCCCACTTCACGGGGCCAGCAGCTCCCATCTGGGTTCCCGAGGACGGAGGGAGCCCCACCTTCCAGGACATCACCGTGCCCACTGCCCCACCACGGCCAGGGCAGACTGAGGCCTCTGAACGGGTGTGCAGGGCGGACGCTGGACGGGGAGGGCCAGCTGGGAGGGCTGAGCCCAGGGGTCAGTTAGGCTGGAGGGAGGGAGGCCGGTCACCAGCTCTTCCCAGGGGTCTCTGGGCTCAGAGCTGTCTGAGTGAGGGCCTCCCGGGCTGGAGCGAGGCACGTACAGGCTGGCAGGCTGGGTGCTGGGCAGGCGGGGTGCTGGGCAGGCGGGGTGCTGGGCAGGCAGGGTGCTGGTAGGCAGGGTGCTGGGCAGGCAGGGTGCTGGGCAGGTGGGGTGCTGGTAGGCGGGGTGCTGGTAGGCGGGGTGCTGGTAGGCGGGGTGCTGGCAGGCTGGGTGCTGCGCTGGTGGGGTGCTGGTAGGCAGGGTGCTGGGCCCTCGCTGCCCTGCAGGAAGTCCCCTCAGGGCAGGGGAAGGAGGCCCTGGAGGAGGCCGGGGTCTAGACCCCTCGGTGAGCTTGGGGGCATCTGACAGCCCAGAACCCACCTCCTCACCCACTTGCTGGGGAGACCAAGGCCGGAGAGGCCACCTGGGAGCCAGGTCATATTTGGGGAGCATCCCAGGTCCTGCTCTGGGTGGTGGGGTGCAGGGGTCAGAGGCAGCCATGCCCACCTGCTCCCCCGGGCTGGCCCCCTGGAGCCCCCTCCTCCTCTGTGTGGATCTTGGAGACCACACCCCCCAATCGGCACAGCTGTGACTCTCCAACGGCCAGCCCAGGCGGGGCTCCCCTGGGCAGGCAGCTCACCCAGGACCCCCTCGTCCTCTGGGGCTGCTGTGGGCTCAGGCTGGCTGGGCCTAGGGGACACTGGTGCTGGCCTGGGCTTCCCTGGAGGCCTCCCAGGAGGAGGAGGCAGGACGGCCTCTGAGCGAGGCCGAGAGGTGCAGCCGGGCCTGGGGGCACACAGACTCGGACACGGGTTGGCACAGGCTTCTTTCTTTTATTAAGATTGTGAATGGGCAGCACACAGTGTGGGGGGCACACAGTGTGGGGGGCACACAGCGAGGGGGGCACACAGCGTGGGGGGCACACAGTGTGGGGGGCACACAGTGTCGGGGGCTCACAGTGTGGGGGGCACACAGTGTGGGGGGCACACAGCAACGGGGCACACAATGTGGGGGGCACACAGTCAGGGGGGCACACAGTGAGGGGGGCACACAGCGAGGGGGGCACACAGTGTGGGGGGCAGCCAGTCAGGACAAGGACATCACAGGCTGAGCTGGGAGGCACAGTGGGGGCTGGCGAGGTGCCCTGGGGCAGCAGGGTCTCTGGCGAGCTCACAGGGGCAGGGGCAGGGGCTGGCGAGGGTGGGGAGACGCCAAGACCAGCCACCAGGGCTCACAGGGTGGCGCCCGCGGCCTTAGCTGATGGCACTGAGCGCGTGGGTGAGGGCGTGCATCTCGTCCTGGATGCCCTCCAGGGAGCTCCGGATGGCCCGGGGACTGTCCAGCACGTCGATGGCCTGCGTGTACGGGTCAAACTTCACGGAGAAGGGACGCTGGATGCGGGCGGCGTAGCTCCTGGGGATGGGCGGGCACGCACCCTCAGTCTCCGGGTGGGGACTCAGGGCCTTGGCGCGTAAGGAGGAGCTGGGGCGGCTGGGGCCGGGTCCAGGGCCTCCAGGACACCCCATCCCTCCCTGCGGCTCCTCACGGCCCAGCTCAGCCAGTCCTCCTCCTCCAGAAAGCCCTCCCAGACTGTGCCCTGCACGGTCCCAGTGACGTCTCTGTCCTTAAGCCTGCGCGTGGGGTCTGCTCTCCCTCCCCCGCCGGCACACAGCTCCCGGCCTCGGCTTCTCCCGGGACGGCAGGAGCCTGGCACTTCCCCAGGATTAAGGAGTGGGTGCAGCAGACTTAGCCCAGCTCCCACTGGCAACCCCAGCCCCAGGCCATGGGGACTCCTTGCTCCCTCCAGGCCCTCCAGGCCCCCAGCCCTGGTGTCCACCCTCCTCATGGCCCCAGCGGCTCAGAGGGCGGAGCTGGGGGGCATCGCACCTCCTCCTCACAAAATCAGACTCCGCCTCCCAGGAGCCTGGCCTGACCCGGCCTTGACGGGGCCACCAGCCTCAGGTCTCCCACTCCCCAGACTTTTGGGGGTGCTGCTGTGGGAGGGGTGTTGTAACGGAGGTGGTCAGTTTTCTCCTCTGTGAAATGGGTTTGCAGGCCGAGCCTGCGCCGGGCTCACCCGTCGGGGGCCCCGGGAGCCGGCCCACCTGAGCTTGTCCTTGGCGTCGCTGAAGCTCTCCGACACGAAGTAGACCGACTGGTAGGTCTGGTCCTGGTAGGGCTGCAGGGCGGCCGCGTCGGGGTCGAAGGCCCGGATCTCGGGCTCCTCGGAGAGGGCGTGCTGCGGGAGGCCAGTCACAGGGCACGGACTCTGGGGCGGACACCTCCTCCCCGGGGTCCTCCCGGAGGCTGGGCCGAGGCTGCCCTCCCGCAGGGACCCCAACTGTGCGCCGGCCCAGGGGGGTCTCACCAGGAGCTCCCCGTAGGACGACAGCAGCCCAGCGCCGTACGCCTTCACCTCTCCGTTCTGCTTGCACAGCCCGAACTCCACCGTGAACCAGTACAGCTGCGGGCAGTGTGGTCAGCGAGACAGCCCCCGACGGCCCGCTCGGGACCCCCCACCCACCCAGGCCCGTCAGGGCGGCCCCGTGTGAGGGTGATGCTCCTGGAGCAGAACAGAGACCTCAGTCCAGACGGACGGCCTGCCTGCACCCGGGCGTCCTGCGCCCACCCCTGGCCCCGCCGGGGAAGGGACCCACCGTGGACAGCTTCTCGATCTCCTCGTCCGAAGCGCCCAAGGATGCCAGGCCGATGTCCTGTGGAGGGGGCAGGAGGCTGACGGGGGCGCGGGGGTGCCTGGGCGAGGTGGGTGGGGGCCCTGACTCTGGGAACATCAAGGTCCCAGGACGGCTGCCTGCTGTTCCCGGCAGAGCCAGCAGGTGGCAGCACAGGCCATGGGCATCCGCCCCAGCGGGTCCCCGGCTCCCCACCCAGGAGCCAATTGGCAAAGGGAATTTCATCGTTCGTCTGAGGTGGTCTTCCAGGATCGGTCAGCGAGCACCTCTGGGTCAGGATGACCCAAGCGGCCCCCAGCCCCAGGCCTGCCCCTCCGCTGACCCGGCTTCTGGCCGAGGCCTGCAGGACACACCTGGGAGAACTGGGCAAAGGTCCGGTCGGCCAGCATGGGCACGTGCCCCAGCAGCTCATGGCAGCAGTCCCTGAGGGGGGGCAGGGAGAGAGGGGCGGTGGGGCTGGGGCTGGGGTCTGCCTGCTGGAGGCAGGCTCCCACCCCCCCCCCCCCCCGGCCGCTCCGGGCACCGAGACACTCACGGCTCAGGCGAGTGCATGGGCGAGGACGCGTGCCGGATGTACTGGGTGCACTGGAACACGCGGAAGGCCAGGCTGGCCAGGAAGTCCCGGGCGGACAGCAGGCCGGCCACCGGCCGCAGCTGGAAGCCGGTCCGCTCTGCACGGCCACGCGGGTGGTCAGGGCCCAGGAGAGTGGGGGAAGAGGGGTTGGTGGTTTTAGGCCCTCCCCTCTGCACCCCAGACCCTCCCCTCTGCACCCCAAACCCTCCCGCTGCACCCCAGACCCTCCCCTCTGCACCCCAGACCCTCCCCCTGCACCCAGACCCTCCCCACTGCACACCAGGCCCTCCCTGCTGCACCCCCAGGCCCTCCCACAGCCCCCCAGGCCCTCGCGCTGCACCCTCCCCCCAGCGCACCCTTGAGGAAGCGGGAGACGGCCTCCAGCTGGGGGATGCTGTCCTCCTGGTACCCACAGAAGCGCTCCAGCAGCTCGAAGGCCTCCAGGTGCTCCCGGCAGGCGTGCGTGGCGTACAGGCCCTTGAGGGTGGTGTACACCGCCTTCCTGCAGCGGGCGGTCGGCGGGTGGTCAGCGGGCGGTCAGCAAGCGGTTGGCAGGGACTCAGGCCTGGCCCGGCGCCCCTTGTCCCTACACTGAACAGCCCCCACTGGCCTCTCCTCACTCTTTGGCCACTGGGGGGCCCTCACCCCTGGTCTGAGAGGCTCCACGGGATGGGGGTGGGTGGACAGCCCTCAGCTCCCTGGACACCCCCTCAGGCCACCACCCCTTCAGGCGGCCATAGGGGCCTCGGCAGCCCCTCTGCACTGGCCTGGGTCTGCCCTCCTGGGGCCACTGCCCTTGGACCCGGGACTCCCCCAGGCCCTCCCTGTCCCTGCCCCTCCCTAGCCTGTAAAGTCTCACCAGGTGGCGATCTCCTCAGCCGTGTACTCCACATGGGGAATAGGGTCGCCGCTGTGAAGGGATTGGCAGTCGGTCAGGGGCCCTCGGGGGTGGGGGTGGGAAGGTCTGGGCTGATGTCCGGCAGGCTGAGTGGCCTCTGCTCCGTGCCTCGTGGGCTTGGCTGTGACTTGGGGACCCCAGGGGCAGTGGGGGAGGTGGTGGTGACCAGGACGCCCCTCCCTCCGGCCCCAGCAGGTCTAGGGTGGGCTGTGGGTGGGATGGGCCTGGGGTGGGATGGGGCCTGGAGGTGGGATGGCCCTGGGGGTGGGATGGGCCTGGGGGTGGGTCGGGCGGGGCGGGCGGCTCTCACTGGCGGTACTGGAAAGCTATCTCGGCGATCAGCCTCCGGCGCTGGCGGTACTCCTGGTCCGAGAAGCCCTGGCGGCAGAGGGGCCCCTCAGGAAGTGCCTGCCCTGCCCACGCCCAGGGGGTGCCCAGGGACCACACCTGCTTGGAGCCGGGCACCCCCACCCCCCAGGGTCAGCCCAGGGTCCTGCCCACCCTCCCGGCTCCAAGTGCAGGCGACATGGCCGGGGCCTGCGGGCCTGGAGGGCACCCGCTCACCGGGTGGTCCAGGTCCAGGTCAGGGTCAAACTTGGTGACCAGGTGGTGGCACTTGTCCAGCTCAGACACTTTCCTCGGGAACCACAGGACTGCACAGCGACAGACGGACAGACAGACAGAAGGAGGGGCCGTGAGCCTTGGGCCCTGGGGAGCGTGGCCCTTCCCCGACAGCCGGGGGCAGGGGGGCTGGGGCTGCGACACGGCTGGGGAACAGAGAGGCAGGGAGCGAGTCCCCGGCCGCACCCCCTGGTCACGTCAGGGTTCCCTCGGGGAGCCCTGCACCCCTGTGTCTCGGGGTCACGGGTTGCTCTCGTGGCCTCACCTCTGCTCTCCCCGGGGCCGCGCACGTCCTCCGCCACCCGGCGCACCGAGCTGAGCAGGTGGGGCAGGTCGGCGCTGGGCACCTCGCAGCGCACGAAGTACTCCAGGTGGGGGGCGCCCCCCCGCGGCCTCTGCGCTGGCCGCGTCTCCAGGTGCAGGATCTGGGCCTCGAAGGTCTGAGGAGCCGAAGCCGGGGAGCGGGAGGGAGAGGGGGAGCGAGAGCTGAGGGGGCGAGGGAGGCGGGCGTGGGGTCCGCTCGCCCTGCCCGGACCGCGGACCCTTTCCCAGCCCCGGGCAGGGCCTGTGGCGGGAAACGGGGCGTTGCTGCGTTTGTCCAACGGCAGCTGATGCCGCGGTCCCCTCGACCCGGCTTTCGGGGTGGCACCAGCTGTGTTCCCTGGCTCCACCCGAACGGCCTGACTTCCCACCGGCTGGCCGCCCCGGCCACTGTCAGAAGGTCCCGCCTCCCTGATGGCTGAGTGACACTGAGCCCGGGGCTGGCAGGAGGGTCTGCCACCGCCAGCCCCTGTTGCCTGGCAACCAGGGTGCTGGGTGTCCAGGGCCCTCCGGCCACAGCCATCTCGAGAGCTGGATGGCTGTCTGGCTATAATGTCATTTGGGCGCCTGTGCCGGGGGCCTGTCTCCTGCCCACCCTGCCCGGTGTGGCCAGAGCAGCCGACGCAGCCAGCTGCCACTTCAGCCATCAGGGGCAGGCGGGGGGGGGGGGGGGACCCTGACCCCCAGCTGCCTGCTGGGAGCCACGTCCACTCGTCCACACGTGCAGGGTGGCAGGCGTGGCCAGTGGTTGGGGGCAGCAGGGCTTGGTGGCCTCATGGGGAGCCCAAGAACCGGAGGTGTGAGGGGGCTGTGGGGTCCCCCCACGCTCCCCGCACCCTCTCCCCTTGTGCCCTTCGTGGCCTGGGCAGCGCCTGAGTCCCGCTCACACCGGCCCCCCAGTGCCCGCATGAGCGCCCTCCGCCCTCACCTCAAAGGCCTTCAGGGCGCGGGAGAGCGGGGCGGTCTTGGCCCCCCGCAGGGTGAAGAGCAGGTTGAGCAGTGCCTTCCCATCTCTCTCCACGCAGGCGCCGGCCCCCAGCGGCTCCCCGGGCTCCGAGGCGGCCGCCGCAGCCTCCGCCTTCTCCCGCTCCTTGCGTGCGTCCTCGATGAGGCTCTGCCTCCGTCCGATGAACCGCGGCGACTGCGGGACAGGGCGGCCGGCTGCACTGAGCGCCTGCTGTGTGCGCCAGAGGCCCCCTGGCCGGGCAGAGCCTCCGCCGGGCTCCTGGCCCCATGGGGGGGTCACCACGGCGCCCAGACGCCGCGTCGCCTGTCCCCAGGCCCGGCCCTAACTGGATTAGGGGACAGGAAGGAGCGGCTCGGGAGTTCATCTGCTGCCCTTGGCCCCAGATGGACGGTGGCCAGAGCCGGGGGCCGGGAGGGGCGGCGAGCACGGTGTCTGCGGGGCGGGGAGCGGCCCCCACCCGTCCACGCGCCCCCCAGCCTCTCCTGTGAGCGACCTTTGCTCACGGTCCCTCCGGCCCTTCTGCAGCACAGGGACACCTGGCCACACGTCCCCTCCATCCGGACACAGGTGCCCCTGTCCACAGCCCGTCCCCGAGACGGCCAGCCGCTCGGGCCAGCGTGTCTGATGCCCCTGACAGAGCTCCCAGGATGGACAGAGGAGGAGCTGCGTGGAGGGCTCACCCCTGGAGCTGAGCTTCCAAGTAGGTGCTGGTGCCCTCGGGTCTGGAACAGGGGACCCCCTCTCTGGTCCCCACGCGACTCAGGTGTGGACAGAGCCGGGGTCCTGGCCTCCACGGGGGGCTCTCCCCACGGCCCCCGAGAAGGTGCCTACACGTTAAATCTCTGGAACGCAGACCACACTATCACTCAGGGTCTAAAGCCAAAGCCCATTTAAACGTCGGGCCTGTCATTTCGGGTGTCCCTGGGGACGAACTGCAGGCCCCCCTTCCAGGCCGCCAAGCCCCTCCCCGCCCCCATCTCACAGAGGGGCCAGCCGAGGGGGGCTGCCCGGCACAGGCGCCCTTGAACTCAGGGCTCCCAAGTGGCAGCAGTTGGGGGACTGTCCCAGGGCTGTTGGGCAGGGGCTGTGGGACCCGGGTGCCTGGCAGGGGACGGGTGGTGATGGTGGGATTCGCCCCAGAATCCAGTTCACCCCTGGGCTCAGACCGCCATCCCCAGGGGCTGCACCCCCTTGGGCCCAGCACCCCCCATCGTGAGCTGTGCCGCGGCCTGGGACACCCTCGCTGGGTCAGACAACCCACCCGCCCAGATGCAAACACGTAGGCACGGGGTCGCCCTGGCAGCCCGGGCAGAGGAAGTGCCCGTGGCCGGGACGCCACACCGAGCCTGGGTCTGAGCCGCCTGCTGGACCCTGAGCCCGGGGACACCCAGGGTCCTGGCCAGTGTCGGCCAGTGGGCACCCGCCGGCTCCCTTACCATGATGGCCTCGGCCTGCTTGGCGTCCAGCTCGGAGACGGCCCTGCGGAAGCCCTTGGCCTGGGGCGCGGTGGCACTGGGCGTGGGCATGGCACCGTGTGGTCCGGGGCTCTCTCCACAGCCCTCGGCCGGGCCAGGCGGCCTCTTATAGGCTGAGCTGACGTCAGAGTCCCCCCGGGTCCCCCACCTCCCACCTCCCTCACATCCCTCTCCCGCCTGCTGCCGCCTGAGGGAGGCGGGAGAACGGGCTCTGTCCCATTAAATCTAATTGCCGCCACTGTCACCCACCCGAGGGCGGCCTGGCGGCTCTGAATCATCCGTGGGGCTGGGGACTGTGGAGGGACAGGCGGGGAGCCGGGAGGTGCTACCCAGGCACCCACTGGGGCTCGCTGCACAGAACCTGCATCTGGTGCAGGCGCCCGACACCACGCGGGGCGACCCAGGCTGCACCGTGGGGGTCGGAGGGGAGCCTGTCTTTCCAGATGAGTCTTCGCTTCACCAGCTCCCCACAGGGCCCCGCAGCCCATGGGCCCCGCAGTGCCTGGGCCCTGGCTGCCTGCAGCAGGGAGGGCGTGGACGGTGAACTGGGGACCCGCCGACCAGCTGCTCCCTCCAGCGGGGGTGGTCCTGGGGTGCGGCCACTGGAGATGGGCCCTCTGCGTCCGCAGCCCAGGGGGACCAAGTGGACACAGCAGGAGCCCGAGGCCCGTTTCCAGCCCCAGCCCCGCAGGTCGACCCCGGCTAGTCACCTTGTGACCCCTGTTCACCTCCCTGGCCCCTCCCAGAAACTTGGGGGCCGCCCACTCTTCCTCGCAGCCCCTCTCCTCCCGGACCTGCACTAACGGTGCTGTGAGCACAGCGTCTCCTTGCTCCGCAGCCCTCTGTGGCTCCCACAGCCCCGGGAAGTAGCCTGGGTGCTCAGCCAGTGCAACGGGGAGCACCTCCCACACCTGCTCCTGCCAAGCCCCTTCACCTGACACCCCACCTCCTCCTCCAGGAGGGGCTGGGAGTCCATGACAACCGGTCCTCACCCCTGTCCTCCTGGTGAGCTCCTACACATTCCACAGAACCCCGCTCTTTCTCACACCCAATATGAACCTCCCACCTCTGCCCTGCTCCTGGCTTTCCCTGCTTGGCAAACTCCCTGAGGGCAGGAACCCCACCAGCTTGGCTCACAGCTGCCTCCCGGTGCCCGGTGCAGGCCCTGGCTTGTCCCCTCTCCTGAACTCGGGGCAACTCGAGGACAGTTCTGCATGGCGTCTGCCTCCGGGCCCTGGCCCAGAGGAGGTCTTCAGTGGGGATGCGCGCCCAGCGGCACAGCCAGGACCTGCCCTGACCCCGGCATGGAGGGTGGATTCTAGGGCGCCCCCCCCCCCCCGTGTGAGCTGATGGGGTCTGAAGGCCTCCGCTGCCCAGGCCACATCCTACCCACCTGAGCCCCATGTCCCTGGCAGCCCCGCCTCCGGGCCGGTGGCAGCCCTGGGACCCCGAGGCTTTCGCGTGCCCCCTCCAGGAGGGCTGCTGGGGACCCCTAGTGACGCGGGGCCAGCCCCACCTGTTTGCTCAGCGTGGGTGCAGGGCCGGGCGACCGACCCGCCAAGCATGCAGAAGGGCCGGCCCTGCCGGCGTGGACTTAACCTTTCGGCAAATGTCTGCTGCCAACACAAACATTGTTTCTTAATTCCTGTCTGCCTGCGCCGGCGGGGAGCTGGGCCGGGCTAAGCTTTCTCGATTCTCCCCTGGGCCCAGTGACCCAGCCAGGGCCGAGGCAGGGCCACAGCCTCCCTGCAAGGGGCACGGTCCCCTCCCTCCGTCCGTGTGTCCCCTGGGTCGTGGGGAGCCTTTCCCACACGCTCAGGCGGCTGCTCAGAGGCGCTCCCCGGTCCTCTGGCTCCACCCCGGCGGCCAGGGCACCGCGCCACCTCCAGCCCCCTCCCCTGGCTCCCCTCTCGCCTCCCCTTCCACCCTCAGGGCCGCCTCCGTCCCGGCGCCTGGGAGGGTGCACGGCAGCATCAGCGTCCACGGCCTTCACCTGGAAGGTCCTACTGGGACGGATCCACAAACCGCCTGGGAGATGGGGGAACGCGTAGCTAGTGATGGGACAGCACTTTGAACAAAGCACTTCGGACGTTCCTCTTGAAATTATCGTGTTTTCTTTGATTACAAAATCCGCATTATTATGGTTAAAAATGCGGATTAGCCATTAACCGGTTAATAATGCGGATTAATTATTAACCACTTAATAGTGCAGATTAACTATTAACCGGTTAATAATATGGATTAGCTATTAACCAGTTAATAATGCGGATTAACTATTAACCGGTTAATGATGCGGATTAATTATTAACCGGTTAATGATGCGGATTAATTATTAACCAGTTAAAAATACAAATTAACCCTTTACTGGTTAGAAACGCGGATACTGGTTAAAAATGCAGATTGACCCTTTACTGGTTAATAGTGCGGATTTTGTAATCAAAGGAAACACGATAATTTCAAGAGAAACATCGAAAGTGCTTTTTTCAAAGTAACGTCCGTCGCCTATTACACATCCCCCATCTTTCAGGTGGTTTGTGGAGGCCGTCCCAATAGAACTTTTCTTGTTTTGAGGAGACCATTCAGAGACCCCATTTTCCACGTCTTCGTAGGCGTTGAAGCGCCGCTCAGAGAGTGCGGTGCCGTCGATCGGAGCACGTGGTCATCCGAGGGAGCAGCACAATAAAACAGCACCCGTGTCACGTGGCATATAGACCGACATGTGTGTAACTCCACCTACTGAGAAACATCCGCACGACTGACCGGTCCACCTCGCACGCACCCATTCTGCAGCCGGGATGACGGAGGTGAGTGAGCCCCCTGGGTCAGGCAGCCAGTGTCCCCAGCTCCCTGCCTTGGCCTCTTCAAGGGCCCCGTGGTGTCTGTGCCCAGGGGCTGGGCATGGCCTAACAGGCTGATGCTGCCAGCACCCCTGGGTGAGCAGAGACCCCGAAAGGGACCCCAGGGCTGGAAGGTGCTCTTTGCAGGAAGAGGAGAAGGGCGGGACTGAGGCCCAGGGGTAGGCTTTGGGGGCAGGAGGAGGAGGTGGGATGATGACGGATGTCGCCGTGGCGGGGCTCCGGCAGCCGTCCCCTCACTTACTCAGCCCCTACCTCCCTGTCCACCCCCAGCCCCCGCCCCAGCTGTGCTGAGTAATCACAGCTCCTGCCTGCAATCTGGAGGCGCTGAGCTCAACAGCCTCTTCCGGTGACGGCCTCCCGGGGACTTAATGGCCCATAATGACAGCGGGGCCCCCCCCCCCCGACGAGGGAGGGCGAGGGGCGCCTACATGGGCAGGGGCAGGGCCAGCAGTGGCTGCTGGGCTTTGTGGCCTCGGGGCTCTTTCCCAGGCCTGGGGGCTGCTCCCCTCCACCCCCAGCTGCAACCCCCGCCCTCCCCCGCTCCTTCCATAGTCCAGGCCCCCTGGGTGGGGGGAGGGGGCGGGGGGGCAGAGACAGCCGCAGAGGGGAGCGGCGGAGGGCGCAGCGCTGGGGCTCCAGCCCGTGCCTCTGCGGGACCCCCCCACCGAACACCCCATGGGCCCTGGCCGGTGCGGCCCAGTGGATAGAGCGTCAGCCCGCAGACTGAAGGGTCCCGGGTTCGATTCCGGTCAAGGCCACGTACCTCGGTGGCAGGCTCCCGGCCCTGGTCAGGGCGTGCGGGACGCAGCCAGTCGATGTGTCTCTCTCTCCGTCCCTCCCTCTCTCTTCCGCTCTCTCCAAAAATCAATGGAAACGTGTCCTTGGGTGAGGGTGACACAAAAAGAGAGAAAACCAGTGGGAACCAGCAAAGGTGCGCTCCGTGACCTGGGGTCAAAGGTCACTTCCCGGGTGTGAGGGGCAGAGGCTTTGGGGTCGCTGTGGGCATCCCTTGAGTCCTGGGACCAGTGTCCCTGCTCACAGGGGACAGGCCTGCCGGACACGGACACACCTGGGCACTCGGGCATCATGCCGGCCGGGCTGTCCCTGAGCCCTGGGGGTTCTGGCCGATGCCAGGGACGGTGAGGCCTGCCCCACCCCCTCCCAGCCTGGGCCAGCTGTGTGGGCATCTGCAGAGAGCACCCCCCACCCCCCCACCCCCCCACCCCAGGCTGGGGAGCAGGGTTAGGGGCACAGGCCTTGCCTACGCTGCCCGCCTCCCCCCTCGCCCAGTCTGGGGGCCCCCAAGTGTGGAGGGGGCGCAGAGGAGGATGGCCCGCCTCCCCCGGCAGGGACAGGGCCGAGATCCCCCGACAGGCGCTGTCTGTGGAAATGTCAGGGCAATTAGCTCGCGGAGGCGTCGGAGGAGAGAGCAGCGGCGAGAATATCGACGAGTCGGACCTGGGCCGCCTGCGGTCGATGGGGTGCATTTAGCAATCACGGGGCGGTCGGAAGCCAGGCCGGCAGCAGGGCGTGTGCGAGGAGCAGGCCGCGTCTCCGAGGGCACCCACCCCACCTCACACGGGCCTCCTGGCTCCCTCCCCCGACAAATCCAAGACCACCCCCAGGAAGGCTGCACCCCTTTTTCCTCCTCCCTGGTCTCCCTTCCGCCAGCACCCAACCCTCTGGCAGGGCCAGCCCTTGGGGGGGGCGGGCTCCTGCTCGGTGCTGGAGCCCCGCCTTTGGGGGCAGCGCCTTGTGTCCAGACTCAGTTTTTCCATCCACAGAGTGGGGGCGCCGGGGTTCCAGGCACCAGGGGTTGGCGCCCTCGGGCCTCTGGAGAAGCTCTCTGCACCCCCTCAAGGGCCCCCACCCTGGGTCCTTTCAGGGGGGTCTGTCCTGCCCAGCACGAGGCACGGGCACCCCTCCCGGGCTCTGCTGCCCCGATGGGAGGGCGGGCGGGCCAGGCTGCAAGGACGGCTGCCTTTGTGCAGGGGGCGTGTCTTCGGGTTCCAAAACGGCCAAGGGGACCCGTCAGGCTGTCCTTTCCAGGTGAGGGAAGCCAGGTGGCCAGAGGTCCCGTGGGACCCGACAGGGAGGGGCTGGGGAGGCCCAGGAGGGGGCGGGACGGAGGGCAGGATACGGGGCCTCAGGTCAGACCCCTGGACAGCGAGCGGTCTCGTAGCCCCTGACCACCAGCCACTCACCCGGGAGGAAGGGCAGACCCTCAGAGCACCCCAAGCTCACTGCACCTCCTTTACTGCTCACCCGCCTGTGGGGGGCAGGGTGCCGACCTCTCACCAGGCCAAGGGGGCGGAGGCTCAGGGAGGCCCATCCCCACCTGGAGGCCCCACCTGGACGTGGGCTGCAGCCGCTGGAGATGCCGGATGGCCAGGCCCACCCCCGGCTGTGCAGCTGGCCTGGGAGCCCCCCTGCGGTGTTACTGCTGTCTCTCTGTGTGCGAATGTGCACGCGTGTGGACGTGTGCGTGCACATGAGTGTGTGTGCGTGTGAGCATGTGGACATGTGTGCGAGTGTGTGTGTGCATGAATGTTTGTGCATATGAATGTGTTTGAGCCCGTGCATGTGTGTGTGTGTGTCCGTGTTCGTGTGCGTGCCTGTGGTCCGCAGCAGGGGCGTAGCGGGCCTGGCCTCCGGCTTCCCCTCTCTCCCTCGCACAATGTCACGGTCACGGCCACGGCTCCTGCCAGGTGCTTTCGGTTCCTGGGGTCCCTCTCCAGACCCCCCTCGCCCAGGTGCAGTGACTCAGCCTGACCCCCCCACCCCCACCCCCCGCACCTCCTCCCGGCTCGCTCGTGTCTGACAAATTAGCCGGGAGAAGAGCAGCAAACGACATTCAGTTCCCATTAGTCACTCGCACGGGCGACGGCCGCTGTGTTCTGACAGCCGTCAGGTCTAATTGCAGGACCAGAGCCCTCCCTGCCCGATGCCGCACCCTGCTGCCCTGGGCTCCGGGGCTCTTGGTGGTGAGGGGCTGCCGTGCCCTGCACCCCTAGACTCCCTTCCTACAGGGCCCCGCCTCCTGCACCAGACCAGCCCCCTCTCTGTGGGACTCCATGGCCCTGGGCTGCATTAGCAGAGGTCTGGTGGCCAGAATACGGGAGGGCACAGCCTTGCTCTGCACAGTGCGGGCCAGACCACGCCAACGGAGCACGCGGCGGCCAGTGCGGGTTCCTCGGGGCCCCAGGCTGTGCTGCACATTGCGGTCCCGGGCGGCCAGCACCTCTCTGGGCTCCTGGGCCCTGGGCCCACGCACAGCCTCCGTGGCGCTCACCCACACCGGCTGGGACGCCCGCCCCCTGGGTCCTGTTCCCTCCTGGCCCCTCACCCTCTTTCCTCCTGGGGCAGGGCTGCTGGCTCGGTGGGGCCTGGGAGCTGCTCTGGGTCCCACCTCGGCCCCACACGACGTCTTCAGGACAACACGGAGGTGCTGACTCCCTTCCAGTCAGAACAGGGGGCCCCAGGAAGCGCCCTGATCCTGCGGGTGACGAGTGGCCGACAGCGTGTCCGTCAGTGTCTCCTCCTGCTGTCTGTCCGCCCGCTCTGTAAGCCCAGCGCTGACACGGGAGCCCCAGGGCTGGAGTGGGACCCCTGGGGAGAAGGTGAGGGCGGAGAGGGGTGACCCGGGGCTCACACCGCCTGCAGGGCCGGGCCGTGGTGCCCGTGTGGGAAACGGAGGCCGAGAGGAACCGGATGTGCCCCATCATGTGAGAGGAGCCTGTGGTCCCCAAATGGCAACCCCTCCCTGCGGGTCTTCTGTGGGCAACTCCCCCCAGGGCTGCCTGCCCCCCGCCCCGGCGCCTGGTCTGGACCCTGGTGTGTGCACCCCCTCCCCTCCCCACCCCCCCACCAGCCTCCCTGCAGCTGGTGCCCTTCCCCGGAGCCCGCGAACCCCAGCTGGAAGCTCAGAGCCTCAGCCCAGGTGCTGCCCGGCCTCCGGCAGGGGGGGCCTCGGGCAGGGGGGGCCGAGTGGGCAGGGGGGGGCCGCATGGGCAGGGGCGCGGGCGCATCCTTGCAGGTGCTGGCAGCTAATCCCCGGCTCCGAAGGGGCTGACATTTCCAGGCTGCGCCTGCCACCCGGAGCCGTGACATTTAGACAGGGCTCATCCGCATGACGTTAGATGACTAGGGGCTGGAAAGAGTGCAGCTGACAGCCGGATCCTGAGCTGGTTTTTAATAAACTCGTCCTGGCTGAGCCGCTCCCTCCAGCCGCCCCCAGACCCCCCCCCCAACCCCGGGCCAGCCCGAAGCTAAGCCCAGGTTCCCCTGGGCTCCCACACCAGGGCCTGGTCCCACGGGGACCCCGAGAGCTGGGCTGTGGCTCCTTCTCATCACCCAGGGCCCCCAGGGAAGGGCTCCGTGGAGTCAGGAGAGGCCGCTCCACGCACTCACCGATGCTTCCCTCCTTCGTCCATTGGCCAGGACGCCCGCGGGAAGCGACAGGGCCAGGTCCTCGAGGGTCTGGTACCTGGTGGGGGAAACTCATGGAGGGGCCCCCGGAGGCGCCGGGCCCAGCCCCAGGCCGAGTCCCGCATCAGGAGCCTGGGGTGCAGGGACGGCAGGAGGGCGAGGACGGCACTCTGGGTGCTCCTCCCGCACCCCAAGGCTACTGGGAGAGGGTTCCGAATTCTTGCAAGGTCCCCGGCTTTGGAGCCAGGGGAGCCCTGTGCTCCCCACCTCCCCCTGCCCCGGTCCCGCCTTCCTCTCTCTGTCCGGCTGCTTCCCTGGGGAGGAAAAGCAGCCAGGATCCTGCTGTTCCACCCGTGGCCCCAGGGAGACCGCGGCTGGGGAGGCACCCTAACCACCCAAGAACCAGAAAAAAACGGGGTCCCCTCACCCCGTCTAATCAGGCTGGGAGCGAGGGGGCTGGACCCAGAGTGGCGGTGGTGAGTGTGCAGATGGGCCGGCCTTGGCGGCCGGGGTCTGCAGGCTGGGGGCCCCCGATCTCCGTCCACACTATGGGCTCCTTCCGTGGTGCCCTGATTTGGGGGAGGTGAAGTGGGGGTGGGGTGCAGCCCCTTCCCGGCAGCGCGGGGCCAGGGTCCCGAATTCATGGAACCACGCAGGGCAGCCTGTCTTTCTCCCGTGAACTGCAGGCTCTGCAGGGCTGGGCGGACCCCCTGGGGCAGGGCCGCGACCTCCCGGGCGATGCTGAGGTTTTGATATTTGTCAGGAGGGTCAGGGGCCACAAAGACGGAGGACGCTGCCAGGTCACATGTGGCGAGGCCCCAGGTGCCCCCGAGAAGCAGTGGGGGGGCTTGTGACCGCCTTCTGTGGAGGGTCAGCTGTGCCTGTGCCCGCGGCATCTCGAGGCCTGGGTCAGCGGGACTGGGGAGCAGCTCCAGCTGTTGGGGGGCTGGTCTGCCTGGGGGGCCAGCGGGGCTCCCTGAGGATGTCAGAGCGGGTTCCCAGCACGGTCCCCAGGAAACTCAACCCTCTGCCATCACCCCCCTGAGCGGGAGGTCAGGGCTGGAGGGGCGGGGCCTGGAGAGCCTAGCAGGCCAGGACCTGCGAGGGGGCAGCAAGACAGGGTTTGGGGTTCTGGGGGCAGGAACCCCTCTAAGAGGATCTCTTTCCTTTGGCTCCAGCCCCTCTGGCCTCCTGACCCCCGGAGGGCTGGGCCCACTGTCCACCTGGGCCTGTTCCTGTGCCCGACGGTGACCATCCTGTCCCCACCCGCCCCCGGGGGCCCAGGTGGGGGTCCCTATGGCTCGGGCTCCCTGGGGCCCAGGTGGGGGCAGGGCGGGGAGGACGCGCCACCCAGGCTCAGGGACGGAGCCGGCACCGAGGACGGGCGGGCTGCCACCCTCCGGAACACAGCGCCACTGACCCGATTACACGTCCACGGTGCACAGCCCGGGCCGGGCGGGCAGACGGCGCTGGCGGGCCCTGCAGACGGCCGCTCCTGCCTGTGTGTTCCCGCTCCATCAGCAGCACCGGCCGCACGGGCTGTTTGGTTCCGACGCGCTGTCTCCCATTCGGCAGCAAAGTGGACGAGACGGAAGCAGAGGCGCTGGCCCGCTCCCACGCGGCCGCCAGCACGGGCGTCGGGGCCGCCCCGTCACCCTCCCCGTCACCCTCCCCGTCACCCTCCCCGTCAGCAAGGCACACGCTCCAGGCGGCTCCCGTTTCTCCCGCTCGCCATGTGCCCATAACTCACCCGCCATTAAGGGCCCAGGGCCCGGCCGGCGGGGCTCAGGGGCTGAGCATCGACCTATGAACCAAGAGGTCACGGTTCGATTCCCTGTCGGGGCACATGCCCGGGTTTTGGGCTTCATCCCTGGTGGGGGGGGGGGGGGGGGCGTGCAGGAGGCAGCCGATCTCTCTCTCTCTCTCTCTCTCTCTCTCTTTCTCTCCTTTCCTCTCTGAAATCGATAAAATCAAAAATAGTCTGCTTAGAATTAAAAAAAAATAAATAAAACCAGTAAAAACATATTTAAAGGAAGGAAGGGAGAGAGGCCGGCACAGGAGGCGCAGGGTGAGCTGGCCGGGAGGGGAGGCGCCGGTCTCCCCACGATCCCGTATCTGCAGAAGCAGCTGCAGCTAATGGGCCGGGAAGCCTGACCTCCCCTTGTCTGTCCACAGTCACGGCCGCGGGGGCCTGCGCAGCCAGCACGCTGACGTCTCGCACGCACGGGAGGAATCGCAGGAACGTGGAGCCCTGAACCCCATGGAGGCCAGCGGTGGGGGGCCTGGGGGCCGGTGCAGTGCGCTCTGGGGGCTGGGTTGGAGGAGGGGGACGGGCGGGGGGGCCGGGGAGGGACCTGCCTGACTGCACTGTTTCTGGAACGGCGCCCAGGGGCCAGGCCACAGCAGGAGGAGCTGACGCCGTGTCCCCTAGTCCTGTGGACACTCGGCGGGCACACCGCACTCTGAAGGAGGGGCCATGTTTGTGGCTTCATATTCGTTATTAAAGGACCACTGTTTTGTCTTGTTTTAAACACCTAGGTTTTTACTGACTTCAGAGAGGAAGGGAGAGTGAGAGAGAAACATCACTGATGAGAGAGCATCTTGGACCCGCTGCCCCTGCACGCCCCACCCTAGGGATCGAGCCTGCAACCCGGGCCTGTGCCCCGACCGGGAATCGAACCGTGGCCTTCCAGGTTTCTAGGCCGACACTCAACCCCTGGCCACGCCGCCCGGGCAAGAACCCGTTTTAGCTGAAAAAAATACACACAGTGTTTCCTGATCATAACAGTCATCCCTGCTCGATAGCAAAACGGGAACGTTACAGAAACACGTGGAGGAGAAGCTAAGTCCCCTCTCACACCTCTAACCGCCACCCACGTGGCAGGGCCCAGACACACGATGCCCATACGGACGCCCGTACGGATGCCCGTGGAGGCAGAGTACCGGGCGGAGGAAGCCCTCCAGGGGGCGGGGCCAGGCTCCAGGCGGCGGCTGTGTGGGGACGGGGCCAAGCAGACGTGTTTGGGGCCTGGACGTGTGGGCGTCTGGCTCCCAGAGACGGCCACGCCACCAGCACCCACCGCACGCCCGTGACCACCCCAACCACAGAGGGCCTCTTGTGGGTGCGGTGTGATGTGTCAGGGTGCATAGGACCTGCACCCCTCGGGCCACCCTGTCCGGGGAGGGACCCGACCCCGTTCTCCACGGCCCAGCAGCACGCGGCCCAGCCCAGGCCAGGGTGCCCGCCACCGGCCCCCATTCCCCACCCAGAGGAGGTGGTTTGCATCTCTGGGAGGAGAGGGCGGTGGCTGCAGCCCAGGGCACTCTGGCCAGCGGTCAGCAGAGCAGCTGCCCAGCCCAGTGAGCATGTGCTCGCAGGGGATGGCAGGGGGTGAGGGGTGCCCTGCCCAGGAGGCCTGGGTCACCCCCACTGGCCGCAGAGTGGGGTGGGAGGGGTGTCCTGGCAGCCTCGGGGACCTGGGCAGTTTCCTTCAGGGGAGCATCCCTGGGGCCCCCACAGGGCAGACGACTCTGCAGGGGGTGCAGGGGCCCGGGGGGGGGGGGGGCGGGCAGTCCTCTTCCTCCGTCCGCTGCAGGGACGGCAGGGCCAGCAGGCCTCCTGCTCTGGGGGTGATGGTCCCCCCTCCCTCTGAGGACAAGCTGGGGTCCAGGCTCCAACTGGCCTCGCAGAGAGGGGGGCAGGAGATGGGCTCAGTCAGGCCCGGATGGGGGCCTCTGCTTGGCCACCCCTGGTGGGCCGAGGTGTCCCCCCGTGTCGGGGGCCTGGCACCAGCCCTAGGGCTGCGTATGGGAGCTGCCGGGTGCCGGGAGGGTGTGAGCGCCGAGGGCACCCTCCTCCGGCTCACGGGCCTGGTGCCTGCCCCGGGCCGACCTGCACTGCGGGCACACGGCTCTCTCTCCGCGTGTGTGCGCGTCCCACCTGGCCCCAGGCCCTCAGCCCTCCCCGCTCCCAGCGCCCTGGCCCTGCTGTGTGTCATCCTGACAGCGACGCCGCTCCTCACCGGGAATAAGATGCGCGGGGAGGGGAGGCAGGGGGAGGGCAGCCGGGGTGACTCGAGAGGACGGTGCGGGCGGGGGCGGGGCTGGAGGAACCTGTGGGGGCAGCAGGGGCTCAGGCCGGGCCAGCTCTCCCGGGCAAAGGCGGGCAGGCAGGGAGCTGCAATGGGCAGGGGGTGGGCGGGGCCGCGCTCAGACCCACAGGCTCCGACTCACGCTGGCCCGACTCCAGGGGCCTGTGAGCTGTGGCCGGGGCTGCAGCTGGCCCAGCGCCCACGCGGGGTCCGGCCGAGACAGAGGGCACGCACCCGCCCCTGCCACCGGCCACCACCCTCTGGACTCCCAGCCCGGTGCTCTACCCCTGGACAAATGGCCAACCCACCCCGGGCACTGGGAGCCTGGACCCGAGCTCGGGGCCCATCACACGCCAGCGCTCGTGTGGCACAGCTGCGGTTGTGGACTATCTGTGGGCATGCGTGTGAGTGTGTGCCCATGTTAGCATGCGTGTGTGCCCATGTTAGCATGCGTGTGTGCCCATGTTAGCATGTGTGTGCCCATGTTAGCACGTGTGTGAGTGTGTGCCCATGCTAGCATGTGTGCCCATGTTAGCATGTGTGCGAGTGTGTGCCCGTGTTAGCGTGTGTGTGCCATGTTAGCATGTGTGTGAGTGTGTGCCCATGTTAGCACGTGTGTGAGTGTGTGCCCATGTTAGCACACGTGTGAGTGTGTGCCCATGTTAGCATGTGTGTGAGTGTGTGCCCGTGTTAGCATGTGCGAGTGTGCATGTGCGTGTGTGCAAGTGTGTGTGCATGTGAGAGCGTGCATGTGCAAGCGTGTGTGTGCCTGTGTGAGGGGTGTGTGTGTGTTAGTGTGTGCATGTGCGAGTGTGTGTGAGCGTGTGAGCATGCGTGTGCACCTCTGGAGGGGGGGTGGAGCCTGCCCTGAGGAGGGAAGGGACAGCAGACGGGAGGGACTCGGGTCCCGGTCCTAATGGCCCAGTTGGATCTCGGACCCGCTCTCAGTCATCACCGTCACCACCACCATCACCGGAAGTGCCAGGCACTGGGTGGGAGGGACAGGGACCATCCGCGACCTGGAGCAGGTTGACAGCGGCTCTGGGCAGGAGGCTCTGCCGCCCGCCCGTGGTGGGGGTACCTGGCTGGAGGTGGAGGTGGAGGTGGAGCTGCGGGTGTTTCTGTGGGGTGCATAGGTGTGTGGGTGCTCACACTGGGAATGGGGTGTGGAGGAGGTGGGGTCCTCAGGCCCTCCCAGCACCCCACTATTTGCACCTGCAGCTCGCTCTTGCTGACCCCCAACCCCTTAGCCACACCCAGGCCCCTTGCCCACCCTGCACCCACCTGCTCCCCTCCCCCAGCACCTACCCAGCACCCATGCTCCCCTAGGGCAGCGGCAGGCCCCGCCACCCGGAGGCCAGCTCCTCGCTGCATTCCTTGTGCGTTGGCGCCACCACGCGGCCATCTGCAGCATTGCTCCCTCCCAGCCTGTGGTTTCAGGGCGCCTGAGCAGGACAGAGACAGCCCCGCCCAGGAGGGGCCCGCCGGCACCCGGGGGGCCAACAACCCTGCAGGGCTGTCTGCGGGGATGAATGGGGCCCCTCGGGGCCTGGGGGCCCAGTGGTCATTGGGCTGAACGGTGGGCAACGCCCGGGGCCCCCACTTCCCACTCCCAGGGCTGCACGAAGGGTTTGCAGCCGGGGTCTCCTGACCCTGCCTGTGGCCGTGGGCAGTGTCTCCAGGCCGTGGTCAGCAGCAAGGTCACCCCAGCCCCAGCCACGCGGGAAGGAGCCGGCACCCGGAGGTCTCTGGGCCTGGGAGCGGGACCCGCGGCGGTCGGGGGTGGACGTTGGCCCCTCACTCCCCGGGGTCCACCCAGCCCACCAGTCGCCAGCGCCAGGCGGTGCGGCTCCTGGCTCCTGGCCAAAGGCGGGTCCCGGGGGGCCCAAGCCCTGAACCGGACTCCGGGCTCACGCCCACCCTGAGGCAGGCCCCACCCGGCCTGCGCATCTCTGACCTGTCGGAGCTCGAAGCCACATCTGTCCTGCAAACAGGCCTCCCCTTGGCTGACACCCCAGCTCTTCGCAGTGTCAGACCCGTGGGTCGTCAGAGAACCCCCAAGCCCTGGCGACCTCGCCAACGCCTGTGACCTCAGGCCCGCGAGCTCCCACGCCTGGCTCAGGGGGAGTGGATGGGGAGAGGGGGCCCAGCTCCACGGGCGCCACAGCTGCTCGGCGAACCTCCTGAAGGGACCCCCAGCACCCCCAAGCGAACGCCGGAGCTGCCTGCCTGTCCCTGCCCGTCTCATAGGCCCCACTGAAGACCACCCCCTCCAGGCACCTCCTCTGAAGCGGGGCTCCCGGCCCCTCCTCCCATGGGCGTCTCAGAGCCCCCAGCTCTGGGCTCTGCCCTGAGCACCCACCAGGCTGAACAGGGGGCGGGTCTGAGGCCAGATTCCTCCCCCTGGACACGCATCCTCCTGACACCCCAAACCCAGTCCCCAAGTCCGCACCGGACCCCCCTCATGACCCGCCCTGTGGCGCGGAGAGAGGCGAGACTGAGGCCCTGGGCGCAGCGGAGATGGCGGGGCTGAGCCGGCCGCACCTGACCGGCCTGCAGGTGCCTCCTGGCCCGGCCCCTGCACACAGGCCCATGCCCACTGGGGTGCCCAGCCCCGGCAGGAGCGAGGGGGGGGGGTCATGGGCCCAGCGTCCAGCCCGGGACATCCTCCCGGCCCCTCCGCTCCATCCACCTCGGGGAGGTCTGCGATCCAGCGTCACAGCCTGCCGGTCCTGTTTGGAAGGGGCGGGCCGCCGGTTCCTGGGGAGCCCGGGGCTCGGGTGTTGTTTAGAAGAGAGCGGAAGCGTGCGGGCAGCGTGCGGGCAGCGTGCGGGAAGCGTGCGGGAAGCGTGCGGGAAGCGTGCGGGAAGCGTGCGGGAAGCGTGCGGGCAGCGTGCGGGCAGCGTGCGGGAAGCGTGCGGGCAGCGTGCGGGAAGCGTGCGGGCAGCGTGCGGGCAGCGTGCGGGAAGCGTGCGGGAAGCGTGCGGGAAGCGTGCGGGCAGCGTGCGGGAAGCGTGCGGGCAGCGTGCGGGAAGCGTGCGGGCAGCGTGCGGGCAGCGTGCGGGCAGCGTGCGGGAAGCGTGCGGGCAGCGTGCGGGCAGCGTGCGGGAAGCGTGCGGGCAGCGTGCGGGCAGCGTGCGGGCAGCGTGCGGGAAGCGTGCGGGCAGCGTGCGGGCAGCGTGCGGGCAGCGTGCGGGCAGCAGGCC